GGCAAGGGGTGGGTGTGGTTGGTGGGGGGCTGGGGCAGGAGCCCCCGGGGTCTCACGATGCTGTGCTTGGGGCGCAGGACTTCCTGGGGCAGGCGTTTGTGGCGCTGGGGGAGGTGATCGGGTCCCAGCGGGGCCGCCTGGAGAGAGCCCTCACGTGAGTCACACCCCATGGCAGGGCGAGGAGGGGGGTCCTGCACCGTGTACCCAGCCACCTGCCCCACAGGACCCCTCCCTGCACATCCCCTGCCGGGGACACTGGCCACGCTGCCGAGCGCCAGCCGTGGGGCACGAGCCCCAACCCCGACCCCACCTCCTGCCCCTGTCCCATCCTCCTTGTCCCCAAGCTGACCCGGCACCTATGGTCCCAGGGGGGTCCCGGGGAAGCGGTGCGGGACTATCCTGCTGCTGGCCGAGGAGCTGAGCAACTGCCGGGTGAGTGCCTGTGTCCCGGCAGCGGCAAGGCAGGGGCTGCGCAGCCCCCCAGCACAGGTGGCCGACAGTGACGGTCCCTGTCCCCAGGACATCGTCACGATGCAGCTGTGCGCCAACAAGCTGGACAAGAAGGACTTCTTCGGAAAATCCGACCCCTTCCTCGTCTTCTACCGCAGCAACGAGGACGGCACGTGAGCGCGGGGCCCGGCGGGGCGGGCAGGGTGCCGGTGTCACTGTACGGCGCGCCCCGACCCTGCCCTGTCCCCGCAGCTTCACCATCTGCCATAAGACGGAGGTGGTGAAGAACACGCTCAACCCGGTGTGGCAGCCCTTCACCATCCCCGTGCGCGCCCTCTGCAACGGCGACTACGACCGGTACGGGGACGGGGACAGGGGCAGCCGTGGGGCCAGAGCAAGGGTATGAGCATCTGCTTCGCGGGTTTGGCTCCGCAGCAGCAGGCAGCTCAGAATTGGGTCCTTACTGGGTTTTTTTTCCTCTTTTGCAACCCAAATTACATAAAGGCATCCCCCTCCTTTCCAGGGCCCCCGCCGTGACCCAAATTTCCCGCTTCCCTCCCTGCAGAAACGCGGGCCAGCCAGGCAGGGCGGCTCTGCCGGCGGGGGGGGGGGGGGGGGGGGGCGCGCGG